GTGGTGTGGCCCCCCAGCGGCTCCCCAGGTGCCGCAGCCCCCCCAACCCCCTGTCATCCAGCCCCCCACCAGCCCCGTTACCTTCCCACGTCTCTGCCTGATTGCTGGTGGAAAAGCCCTGGGAGGCGGTCCAGCTCTCGTCCGCGCTGCAGTACAGCTCCGAGCGGGAGGTCAGCTTATTCCTGCGCGGTGGGACGGAGATGGATGAGAACCAGCCACGGTCCCCACGGGACCCCCCCAACCCCACGGCGCTGCACTTGCCTGTACTCTTCGCTCTGCTTCCGAGCTCGCATCAAGAAGGCGGTGAAGATGGCGATGGCTACGACCAATATGGCCACCGGTACCCCTACAGCCACCCCCACCTTGCTGACCCGTGAGCTGCAGGCGCTGTCTTGGTACCAGAACACCGCCTGGTCCGAGCACCTGGTGGGGATGTCCAAGCGGTGAGAGCGATGCCGGGGGAGGGGGCACCCATTTGGGGAGGGGGGGATGGACAACGGGGTGCTTACTCGCACTGTGGTCCCGTGTGTGTCACGCCGCACGTGCCGTGGACGCAGCGGTAAGGGTTGGTAGAGCGTTTGTCGCATCTGGTGATGCAGATGACGCCGGTGGTGGTGAGGAGCGGGGAGTAGTAGGACTTGAACTCCTCCTGGATGTGGCTGTCGCATAGATCTAAGGGTGGAGGCACGTGGCTCAGGGTGCGGAGGCACGTGGTTTGAGGGGTCCTGGGGTGGGGGTGACTGACCCGCGGGCTCACTTACTTGCTTGAACCTCTTGCACCCCGTAGCTGGTGACGTTGGTGAATGAAGAGTTGAAACAGAAAGAGCCTGGGATGGAGAGAGCAGCTGCTGGTGGGCACCCATGGGCTCAACCCACCCCAGCGAGGACCTTGCCCTGGTGCCACCTGACACGTGGAAGGTGACCACTGGCATCACTCACAGTTGTTTCCTTGACAGGTTTCATTGCAGTCGCTGTAGTTGTTGAAGGCACTGACGAGGCTCTCGGAGATGCTCTCCACCGTCTTGTTGGCCGTGAGGCTGGCGAGCACCTTCAGGATGACCGTGTAGTCCACCACGACGCTGCCCTGGCTGCAAGCAGAAGGGGCACTGGTGGCTCAGCAGGGCTAGGCTGCGGTCCCACACTTCGGGGGACCCAACTGGGACCAGTTTGGGATCCCTAGCGTAGAGGGACAGCACGGCCACAGTTACATGAGGCTGGACCATCCTGGAGGAGCCCCAGGGACAGAACACGGCTTGGAGGGATGTGGATGGCCCATTCTTGGAGAGCATCACCTCGAATTGACCCCCGTGGGTCCCTTCACCCCAAATCACCCTGCCAGAGCAGATGGAGGGGGTCAATACCCCCACGAAGACACACCACCCAGCCCCTGGGGGGCACTCACGTTAGTTCGTTGATCACCACATCTTGGTAACCCTCTATATGGTTGTAAATGTTCCGCATCTGGAAGACAAAGAGAAGCCGTGGGAAGCTCCAGGCACCAGCCCCATCATGCCCCAAATATCCCCCAAGGGTGCTGCCCCAGCACGGGGACGCCCATGACATCGTCGTGCCCTGACCTTGTTCTTGAAGTCCTTCTCAAAGTCTCTGAAAGCTGCAGAGTTCTTATCTTTGAGTTCGTCTGTGAATGGCCTGTTGTCGACCTTCGTCTTCATCTCTACCGTCGCGTTCACCGTCACTTCGTCAAGCAGAAGGAGATCCATGAGCAATAGACCCGGGCGTCCCCGTCCCACCCCCGGTCCCTTGGTCAGGGGACCAGGTCGATCCCTCCTTGGTGGCCCCCATTCCCAGGTTGGTCCCTCCGTGGTGGCCCCAGTCCTGGGTCAGTCCCTCCGTGGTGGCCCCGTTCCCAGGTTGGTCCCTCCGTGGTGGCCCCAGTCCTGGATCAGTCCCTCCGTGGTGGCCCCATTCCCAGGTTGGTCCCTCCATGGTGGCCCCAGTCCTGGGTCAGTCCCTCCGTGGTGGCCCCGTTCCCAGGTTGGTCCCTCCGTGGTGGCCCCATTCCCAGGCTGGTCCTTCTGAGGTGACCTCAGCCCACGTCCTGGCTTGGTGGCCCCCCACGGCAGCCCCAGTGCAGCGTAGCGCAGCTTGGGATGGCTCCCTACCATTTGTGACCTCGACGATCTCCTTGGCGAACTGACACTCAGAGCCCTGGAAATTTGGGGGGCATTGGCAAATGCCATTGGCCCAGGTGCCACCATTTTGGCAGATGGCTATCTCACAGATTTCACCGTAGTACCCATCAGGACACGAGCACTTGATGCCATCCCATGTGGCCCCGTTCTGGCACGGACCTGGAAGAGGAACCCCAGGATATGGGTGCTGTGACACAGCCCAGAGGAAGCCCAGGAGCGCGAAGCCACCTGGAGAATGCCTGGGGCATGGTGGGAGGTCAGGGAGTAGGGACGTGGCTAGGAGGTGCCACCAAGGAGGAAGACTCACCTGAACTGTTGTTGGTTGTAGTGGTGGCAGTGGTGGTGGTGGTGCTGGCAGTGGTGGTGGTCGTAGTGGTAGGGACGGTGGTGGCAGTGGTGGTGGTGCTGGCAGTGGTGGTGGTCGTAGTGGTAGGGAAGGTGGTGGCCGTGGTGGTTGTAGTGGTAGGGATGGTGGTGGTCTTAGTGGTGGTGGGGGTGGATGTATTGATAGGGACGGTGGTGGGGTTGGTGGATGTAGTGGTAAGGACAGTGGTGGGGATTCTGGTTGTAGTGGTCACTGTCATGGTTGTATTGATAGCGACGGTGGTGGGGGTGGTGGTCATAGTATTGGGGGTGGTGGTCGTGGGGGTGGGGGTTGTACGGTTAGAGATGGTGGTGGGGTAGGTGGTTGTAGTGGTAGGGACAGTGGTGGGAATTGTGGCTGTAGTGGTGAGTGTCGTGGTTGTAATGGTAGGGACGGTGGTGGGGGTGGTGGTTGTAGCTGTGGGGGTGATGGTTGTATTGATGGGGATGATGGTGGGGGTAGGGGTAGCAGAAGGGATGGTGGTGGGGGTACTGGTTGTAGTGGTAGGGACGGTGGTGGGTGTCGTAGTGGTAGGAATGGTAGTTGTAGTGGTAGGGACAGAGGTGGGGTTGGGGGTAGTAGAACGGAAGGTGGTGGAGATTGTAGTGGTAGAGGGGGTGGTGGTCACTGAACTTGTGCTGCCTAATGAAGCTGGCGTGGGGTTAG